AGACCCAATTGAGAACAACGTCTTAAAAGCATTCCTAAATGTCTTCTTGCTTTGGGAAGTATTAGGGGACAAACCCCGCAGACAAATTAGCATAAACATGATCATGGAAACGAAAGAAATGTTACCTAAAACGGGCCTGATATCTACATGCAGACACTAGCACAAAGTCTGTGGAGTGAACAAGACATCAGGTGTATCAAGAAATGAACTTTACCATCACTGTTGACAAACACTCACATTTCCCTGGGGAGTTCCATTACGCGATTCATGAATGGACCGAGTACAGTATATTTAGCTCATTTCCAAAGAACCAGGTTTAAGACCAAATGCACTCCTCTTGGGCTGATCAGCTCAGCAAGTTGCCAGCATGAACTTAACGAGACCCATCTCTGGTGCCGTGCCTAGCTGGGTGAGTTCACACCAGTGCTTTTCACACTTCAGCGTGCAAACAAATCACCAAGGACACGGTTACAGGGCAGATGCTGATGCAATAGGTCCCGCAGGCTCTGTACATCTAGCAAGCTCCCTGGTAATGCTGGTGTGCCAAGACTCCGTGTATGAAAGGTTTCCACCATGCAGGAGAGCTGTGCTCCTTGGCACGGGGTTCTCCTTCCCCAGGGAGGAAGGAGGAAAACAGAAGGTACCTACTGTGCGCTGGCTACTGAGCTGGGCCCTCCCGGCACCACCTGTAACTCCCAGCCACCCCAGGCCACAGGCCCCCCACTATCAGCACTAGGCGGTCAACAGTGGCAGGCCATTCAGTGAGACGGGCACGTGGCCCCAAGCAAGCGTTGGGCTGGAAAAAAGAAGAGGGGGTGAATCCCTCTAGCAAGGACAGAGTGCGATTACCCTCCTCACTAATCTGAAAGGCACTTGTGAGTCTTCCTAGTTTTATTTAGCTGCCTCCTGCTGTGATTCTGAGTCAAAACAGGAACAACGTGCCTAATTTGTAATATTATCCTGCGATGTCAGGGCTGTGGTTAGCTTTGATTAGAAATCCTAGACCCAATACGCTCTCCTTCCTCTGTGAAGGCATGCGGACGATGAGGCTCAGAGTCCAGCAAAGCAAGCCCCTCCGTGTATGCGAGAGGGGTCTCAATGCTCTGCTGGCATGCCACGGTCAAAACCCGACCGCACGACCTCAGTGCCGGAGGAGACCTAGGCACCGCATAGTCCTGGCCCAGGTCTTAACCAAAAGTGCCAAACCTGTACAAAAAGCCCAACGAACTCCAGCAGCGAGGAGTGACTCCCCACGCTGTACTGGGCACTGACGTAAGGGCTCCGCACGCATGCATCTATTCAATTCTGACAACATCACAACACCGCCCCAGCCCCCAACCCTGCCCTTTAATTTCCATTTCATACCCAAGAGGACTGAAGCAGGGAGACATCAGGTAACTGGCCCAAGGTGGCAAAGCTCATAAGTAGTAGAACAGGCCATCGATGCAGGGAACCCACCTCGGGCTCCCACTCTTAACCAATTACACTACACCGTTTCTCTTTCCTAAAACAGCAAAAAAAATCATCTCCTTGCTCTGAGCGCTGCAAATTGAGTGTCTTCACTGCACTTGGAAACCGTTTATGGAATGAATAAAGCCGAGTGGTTGCGTTTGATTCTTAAAGGTTCAGTGGGAGATCGATCCCCACATAATGTCTCTGCAAAGTGGATGTGTCATCTGCAAGTAAACAGGACAGCTGTTTGCTCAGGGTTCCCTCCTCCCACATTCTATGCTCGGTCCCGGAGCCTCACAGGTCTCCTCTGACTAGCAGCTGTCACGAGGCCATCAAGAAGGACTAACACAACCACCCGCTCTTCTAGCTGGAATCTTCAGTCTGGGGGAGTCCAGGGGCGGACTGGGACTTCTCAGAATTCTACATAACACCTTTTAGCAAGAGAGAATCTTTCAGAGACAGGATTCATTCTCGCTGAATGTCAGCTATCGTGGCTAATAGCCCTGGAAATAAGATCTACATTTAAAAGGAAAACCATGTGGCTTACCTTTTGCCCTTAAATACTTAAGAACAATGGAAGATGTAATTATCACTCACAGCGTTTGCAGATCAGAAATCTGGCAACAAGAACAGAGCACCGTACGAATAAAAATGCAGCATAAAACACTTTATAGTGTTTGTGTTTGACATCTTATTTGACATGGAATGGAGAAATAAAAATTGCTTCAAGACATTTCATTCCTCAGCATAAGAAAGAGATGGTGGCAGTAAGAAGGGATGTGGATCCCCAAATGTTGCTAATTATGTGGCGTTTTACATGGAGGAATTATCCCACTGCAGAGAAGGGAGATGTCTAAAAGGCAAACACTCCCTGGAGCATTTTAAGAAACTTTGAAGTCATCCAGACAATCCAGTCATCAGCTGTGCTGGATTTCCTGCGTTGTAAATGAGAAACTGCCTTTATGCTCATTATCTTACCTCATAAGGAAAGAAATAGTCTGATAATGAATAAGAGGGAAAGTACAGACATGGGCCCATGATGATCACCTGAGTTGAAATATACTGCAAACGGAAGTCATTAATATCTTCTTCTTCTTTTTTTTTTTTTTT